AGTGACTAAAAATGGCTCAAAGCAGTTACAAACTCTAAGGGTCATTTCAGGCCATGGCTCTTATTCCAGAAGTCTTGTTATCAGTCAAGAGAACTGAAAGGAGTTGATTATCCTCATGGGCATACAAACATGAAAATCTCTGAAATTTTGAGGGTCAGGTGATGGTCCCTATAACATGGGTATGTAAGTAATTTCTTGGACAATGCACCTTTGTATACTATTATTGTTGCATTAATAATAGTAAAATAAGAAGATAAATAAATTGTCAAATAATAGAAGAATAAGGTAGGAAATCATCTTTGGTGGAGAAGTATCTTTAGTTGGCAAGACTATCTTCGTCAGATGATGATCAGTAGAATCTATGGAAGGGTGGGAATTATTTCTGTTTTAGTCACTGCTTTATCTACACATGCTAGAATAATGCCTAGCACCTAGTAATAATTATTCAGTAGCACTGTAGCACTGTCCTCCATTTGTTCATCGATTTGCTTGAGTGGACCCAGTAACGTCTCCATTGCGAGACTTGTTGTTACTGTGTTTGGCATATCGAATACATCACAGTCGCTTGCCAGGCTTTGCTGAGCAGGCGAGATACTCTCGGTAGCTTGCTGGGCTCTCCAAGAGGGGCGGAGAATCGAACCTGGGTCCGCCGGGTTGGATGCATGCAAGGCAAATGCCCTACCTGCTATCACTGTGCTATCACTCCAGCCCAATTACTCAGTAATTTTTTAAAAATTGCATCAATGAAATTTCCATTAACCAATATGTCATCAATTTAAAATTCAATAAATATTAATACCAATTATAGATGATGATAGTAGGAATATGTTGAAGTTGTTACCATGTTTTCTCCTCAGGAAACCTCCCTTTGTCATTTTTTTTTAAAGAATAGAGAAGGGTTATCCAGTACTTTCTTTATTTTATTTTTTTGCTTTTTGGGTCACACCTGGCAATGCACAGGGGTTACTCCTGGCTCTGCACTCAGGAGTTACTCCTGGTGGTGTTCAGGGAACCATCTGGGATGCTGGGAATTGAACCTGGGTCGGCCACATGCAAGGCAAACACCCTACCCACTGTGCTATCTATTCAGTCCCCTCCCTTTGTCATTTTAATGACCAAGTAAAAAGATTGATTTAAGATGATTATTATAAAACAGTGAAATTTGGGTCGAGAGCAATAGTACAGTGATTAGGGCATTTGCCTTGAACATGGCCAACCTGGCTTAGATCCCTGACACCCCAGTGGTCTCCCAAGCCCACCTGTAGTGATCCTTGAGCACAGAAGCAGGAGTAAGTCCTGAGAACTCTTGAGTGTGGCTCAAAAACTGAAAAAAAGTGAATTTTATGGTTGAAAAAATGTCTTTAAAAACTTGTTTAAAGCTCTTTCCCCAGTGTGTTTTTAAGTAAACAAATAAAGAAACAAAAAGCGAAAAGAAAAAAAAAAACAATAGTTGGTAAGACTATCTTCATCAGATGATGATCAGTAGAATCTATGGAAGGGTGGGAATTATTCATGATCTGGAATGTCATTGTCCATTGATCATTTGAAGGACACTGTCTTTCATTTATCAAGAAAAATGATGTGCTTAAACTTTTACTTGAATTTGGAGTCCTTGATCTGCTCACATGTCAGATGGCTACACAATTGTCCCTGTAATAGAAGCAAAGGTTGTGTGGTGTCAGCCTTGAGTGCAGATCTCATTATTCTGGGTTGATTATTACTTTCCTACCTACAGACTTTGGACATTCAATGTCTTCATCATATGATGCTGTTGTGCAGTCTATAAATGACCACTTCTCCCAAGGAATTTATGACTACAGTACCTACATCTAGGGGGCTGTTTAGATATTCCAAATGAAACAGGTTTTAGTATTTTGTTAGATGGATAGTTTTAAACCAAAATGGAAATTCTGATTACAGATTAATAAGAAACAGGTAATGTACAAAAGTTATATTTTAGTTTTATAAAACATAATATCAATGAAACAGTGAACTTCCAAGAAGAATAAAGAAACAGCAGTCATGCCCACTGAAGAACCACATTAAAAACCCATTTCTGATGAATCAGCCAAGACAGGGACTATTGATAATCAAAACAATGCAACAATTCTGTTTTAAATTTGATCCAGATTTGATAATAACCATACAGCCGAAATGGCTTAACAAGAGTAAAATATATAGGGTCTTAAAGATGAAAACTAGACATAAGGAGCTTTTGCATGTTGAGTTTTCAGTTACCTTTCCCACAGATCATCAGAGACATAAGGTAGGGAATGCAATAATTCTTCTGAGGCATTGCAGCTGCTGAAATACAGATAGATGGAATTCTGTACTCTTTGGTATCATACAGAAACAATCTCAAAATAAGACAAACATGCATTCTTTGAAATATTTCTGCTATCCCTCAATAAAGGATATTGTATTGACTGTACAGTGAAATCTTTGTGTTTTTGCTTTCATTTTATATCTGGTTTCCTGTCTACCCTTACAATAGTATAGTTCCATGAGAAAATCTCCAAGAGTATAGAAAACTAAATCATGTTGACTATATAGGTAGTCAAAAAACTCATAGGTATAATTTGTATTGATATGGAATTGTGAGTTTTTCCCTGCCTACCCTTATAGGAGAATAGTTCCATGAGAAATTCTCCAAGAGTATACAACATAGAATCATGTTGATTATGTAGGCAGTTGAAAAAACTCATAGGTACAATTTGTATTGATATGGAATTGTGAGTTTTTCCCTGCCTACCCTTATAGGAGTATAGTTCCATGAGAAATTCTCCAAGAGTATACAACATAGAATCATGTTAACTATGTAGGCAGTCGAAAAAAACTCATAGGTACAATTTGTATTGATATGGAATTGTGAGATTTTTGTTTCTTTCATTGTTTGCTTGTTTTGGTGGGGCTGACACTCTAAGTGATGCTCAGGGCTTCCTTCTGGCTCTGTGCTCAGAGATCACTCCTGGCAGGGTTTGACCATATACAGTACTTGGGATCAAACCAGGATTGGTCATGAGCAAGGAAAACACCCTACTATCCACTGTACTATCTCTCTCTATCAAAAATTGTGAGATTTAATGGGAAACTGGACTTGTTTCTTGACATTGTGTAGAATATTCACTAAATGGTAGTACTGTAGCACTGCCCTCCCATCGATTTGCTTGAGCGGGCAGCAGTAACGTCTTGCAACAAATTGTGAGACTTGTTGTTACTATTTTTGGCATATCGAATACATCATGGGTAGCTTGCCAGGCTTTGCTGTGCAGGCGGTATACGCTGGACAGCTTACCGGGCTCTCTGAGAGGGGTGAAGGAATTGAACCTGGGTTGGCCAAATGCAAGGCAAACCCCTTACCCGCTGTGTTATCGCTCCAGCCCAGATTAATTTGTACTTGATGTACAACAAATAGAAATTTAATTCCTTAAGAGTATTAGAAAAGAGTCCACTCACAGCCTTTCCCTCCTGATTTGTCCCACTATTTCGTACTCCTTTTGAAAGGGGGATGACATTTTGCCATCAAATATTAGGAACCTTCTCCAAGCCTACAATACCACTGGGACATGGGAAATATGACACATGGGGCCTCATTGCCTGGAAGGTTCAGTCTGCACTTTTCTGCATTTCTCATTCCAGGTTGAAATGTTCCCTGGTTTCTGTTTCCCTCTGATTAGTCAATGAGATTCAACTTATCAAGGAATCCATAGTTCAGGGAGTGGTGGCCTGAGCAGGCAGCTGATCAAGGCGTCAACTTGCCTTTGAGTCAGGAAGGAAGGAAGGAGGGTGGAGGGTAAAATAAGACTTACTTTGGATCCTTAAAAAAGGGATAACCACAGTCAGCTTAGATAAACTTCTTCCTGTGCCAAGTTGTGAGATTCAAACGATGGTTTAGAACCAAATTGTGTTTTTCCATTTAAACGATCTTCAACTTTGTCTGGGGACATTGAATACTTTTTACATATACTTTTCAGTGGTTGCAAAGGGTATTTCTTATTATATGGGGGCACCACAATTTAAATACTCTTCTACTTTGCAAAAGTTTTCTTTATAGTTTTCTTGTTATTAACAGTGTGCTTGTTCTTTTTTAAAAAAAAACATTTACTTATTCAGAATGAGTCCGTTTGTCTGATCCATGAAATGAGATTTGTATGTCTGAGGTTATTAACATTTAAAGGGAGTTTAATGTGCATCACCAAATATTTAAATGTATTTAGACACCCATTTATCAAGAAATTAGTTAACCATTTAAGCAAATACTTTTATTTCACTCAAACTTTTAATCTTACATTGCTTACTATAAATTTGAGGCAGTTGTTTTGGGATTGAATTTTGAAAGGTAAAAGCACAAATTACAACTAAAAGCAAAGAATACTAAAATACAACCACGTTAAGAAAATGAGAAGAATGAAGATATTATTAGCTAATAATACTTTCTTTTACTCCTAATGTCTAAACTGACTCTGACATTTATTTCTAACTGGCATTTTATCAAGGCAAGTAAATATGTTTCAAACACAGGACAAAGAGGTCTCTGTACCTCTGTTTTGGGCACGCACATCAATGAACTAATTTTAATGCAATTTTTCTCTCTGTGATACTGAGTAGTGTTTTTGACAGAGTTTTTTTTCTCATCTTCGTTCAATGAATCATACTTCACTTGGAAATAATTTTCAATTATGAAAAAATAATATTCATATTTTCTCCGGAAATTATGCTGGAGAAGGCCGCTCTATCTGCCCGGCCAAGATACCTTTCTCTCGGAGCCCACCCTGCATGCTCCTCGCTTGTGTCAGGAAAACACTGCACTATTCCTGGATAATTTCACAGTTCGCTGAAGGGCCCGAGACACAGAGTGGCAAGAAAGGCATTTGGAACCAAATCAGTTCAATACCCGGGAAAAGGTTCCTTGTTGTTGATTGATCTCTTCCTAAATTTAAAGGAGGTGGGGAAGGCTCAAATCCTAATCTTCTGACGTTGTGTTTCTGTCCCTTTTCCAGTGCTCTGCGGAGGCGGTGACAATTTTCTGTGCTCCAGCGGAATCTGTGTGCCCAGGAAGCTGCAATGTAATGGTTACAACGACTGTGATGACTGGAGTGATGAGGCGCATTGCAGTAGGTGACAGGATGTTGGGGCGTGTCTGAGTGTGCAGGGATTCCATGCAGGGGCCTAGAAACCCCAGCATTCCATTGTCAAGGCCTGACAACCCTACCTCACTCTGTCAACACTCTCCTTTCCAAAGGCAGTGAGCGTGTTTATCTTCCTGTCAATGGCAGGGCCTGTTTGCTCACCTTTCAAAGGCCAAATGCCCTTGGAAACAATTCCAGCCAGAGCTCTGTGGCATAGGGGATCGGGCAGGGATGGAAGGCTTTTTTCTTGCTTCAAGTTTCTTAAACTGGGAGAAGGGGTTTTATTTGTTGTTGTTTTTTATTTTGCTTGGGTGAGGATTCTTGATTTTGTTTTCCAAGTTGTGTGAGTATAAAGGTCAACTTTATGAAAAATGAACATCTTTCCCTAGGAAGAATGTTCACCTCTGTGATTCATAAAGCCTCTTGTTTCTTTATATTTCCTCTGCACCTGATGTGGTGGAGGACTATTAAGAGTTCTAAGTTGAGCAGTAAGGTGATTCAGCTTTAATCTGATTCTTTATTTTGATTTCATGTGTCAATGGTGTGTCTGAGCCACTTTGTATTAGTCTGCTTTGGCTGCCCAGAAAAAGTAATTGTACAGATCACATGAATTAAATGGCAGAAATTTATTTTCTCACAAGTTCTAAGGTTGGAAAGTCAAGTCAATGTCCAGTAGTGGTTTTGTTTTCTGGTGAGTGTTACTTCCTGAAGACTTGAGAACACCTGTCCTGTGTGTTCACCTGACCCCTCAGAGAGAGATGGGGAGACAGAGAGAAATAGTAGAAGAAGAGGAGAGGAAGAGGAGTGGAGAGGAGCGGAGAAGAGAGAGAGAGAGAGAGAGAGAGAGAGAGACAGACAGACAGACAGACAGACAGACAGACATAAGGGTGAAAGAAGGCAGAGGAAACCTCTGGTGTCTCATTTTCTTCTTTAAGAGAAACTTGGTGGTAGTGGTGGGAGGCTCCCTCTCCCTAGAATACTTGGTCCAGTGGTTCAGGCCTCATGGCTTGGTGCTTGAAGGTAACTGGAACCATACCCAGAGTGCTCAAGGAGCCATGCAATGCCAGGGACAAACTCAGGACCTCATGCACAAAGACATGCACCACTCCTTTGAGTTAACTACTTCTCATCTTCGTATAAGATTACTAGCCATTTTGGCTTAGAACCTCATCCTCATGACCTCATTTAACCTTTATCACTTCCTCATAGACTCTGTGTTCAAACCCTGAGCGCTTCCACATTGGAACTTAGGGAGGAAACATTCAAACCGTTACCAATACTTATTCAAACCATGTTACCTAAACTTCAATTATATGTTTATATATTCAGATTTCAACTCAGTATGCACTTGGGAAGCTTTTTTGCACTTTTCCCCCTTTTTTATAAAAAAGAGAAAAATAGCCTCAAGAATACATTGTGGAGGACCAGAGAGATAGTACAGCAGACAGGGCACTTGCTTTGTTCGTGACCAGCCACGTTTGACCTCTGGCACCCCATATGGTCCTTCAAGCTCTGCTGGTAGTGATTCCTGAGCTCAGAACCAAGAGTAAGCCCTGAGTACCATCGGGCATGGCTCCAAAACAAACAAAGAGTACATTACAGTATCTGTATCCAAATTAGAACCATATGAATTGTGTTCTAATTACTTTTTTGTGGTTATATGAACAGTAATAGGTGCTCTGAGAAATATTGTGTTCTGCTCCCTTTATAAATTGCTAAAATTTCTAAACTCAGAATTGTCACCCTCAAAACAGAGCCTCTTCTGGTTTGCCAGGTAGATCCACTCTTGTATGTTAAGACTTAGAATGTTTAACTGCCATCATTTTTGAAAGGCAGCATATTATATTAATATTTCAGGTCAGTCTTTTCCAAACTGATGTTCCAGTACTTGAGTTCGAGAAATGCTTTAAAAAGTTTAAGAAATTTGCTTGACAATTTCTTCTTGTTGGAAAATTATAATACATATTCCTACCCTAAGGTGCTGAGAAATCCTGCAATTAACAAAAGAATACTAACTTTGTTGACATAATACTTTGTCAAAATTATTTTTTCCTCCATATGCTCACTATTATGTATTTATGCATTTATATATTATTTATCATGTGTGTATTCATCTAGTTTGCATAATAGCTCATATTCTGTTGAACTTTAGCAATTCATGAATTTTTTCATAAATGTTTTTATTAATGCATTGGTTTTATTGTTTGAGAAGTTCTCCCTTTGAAAAACATATGGCACATATTTTTATATGGAAAATACTTGTTGTGGGGAGTATAAAGGGCATGCCTGGCAGTGCTTACAGCTTTCCTCTGGCTCTGTGCTCAGGGATCATCCCTGATAGTGCTTAGAGGACCCTGTGTTGCGCCTGGCAAAACTAGTGTTGGTCACATTCAAGGCAAATGCTTTACCTCCCATATTATCTTTCTGGCCCCAGAAAACACTTTTATATAGGATGTATTTTAAAGTAGAGAGTATTGCTGAAAATTTAGGAGAAAATAGCAAAGCAGCTGCAATAGAGAATGTAAAGTGGTTCAATAGAATCATATGCAGTTTTTTATGCTGTATGTTTTATCCTCCAAATTATGACCCATGTATGGCATTGTTTAAATTACGTGCATGCCGTTTCCCTTAGGCTGGGCTGACACTGACTTTGTCATTATGTTCTTCATTTTCTGTCGCATTTGTTCCTGCTTACTTTGAAGGAGTAACTTTTTCTAGTGGATGAGTGCAAAAGAAGGAATTACTACTTTGTGAGGTATTTAGTAATGGCCTGGGAGTTGAGATTTTACTTAGGAAAATATGAGTTTACCGCAAGAACATCTCTCCAAAAGATTCTGGGTTTAGTAGTTGAGGGAATGTTCACCTCCAAAATGCTTGTCTGTAAAAGTGATGAGTGAGAACTTCCTAGGCCACTTGCCTCTGCACATCAGCTGTTAGTGCTTGTGGCATTTCAGCACATGAGCTTAAAGAAGGTGCCTGTCTCCTTTTGTCAACACCAGACATTGAAAGAATAGTGTTAAGGCTGAATTAGGCAGTGGACACAGTCTAGAGCATAAAAATAGTCCTAGAGAAGGAAATTTGTTGGGCATACTCAGTGAGGAGCTGAAAGATACAGGAAGCTTTAAAGGTTCTGGCAGATAAAGAAAGATGAGGATTGTCCACAGAGATCAAGCATCCCTGCACTAGAGACAAAAATATTCTCCTTCTGAGCTCTTGTCTGCTTTTTAAGATGTGGTCAAATTTAGGAGAGGTATATTTTTATTGAATTGCTTATTATTTTTTTAAACAGCCTTCAAAGGAAGTAAGGGAGATATTTATGATTTATGAGTTTTCTAATCAACTGTTTAAGCACTTTTAAAAATTTTGTTTGATTGAATATCAGGGCTGGAGCGATAGCACAGCGGTAGGGCGTTCGCCTTACAAGCGGCCAACATGGCCTACCCGAGTTCGATTCCTCCACCCCTCTCGGAGAGCCCGGCAAGCTACCGAGAGTATTCGATATGCCAAACACAGTAACAACAAAGTCTCCAATGGAGACGTTACTGGGCCCGCTCGAGCAAATCGATGATCAACGGGAGGGCCTTTACCTTTACCTTTACCTGAATTATCAGTAGACGAGGTATTATCCCTTCTGAGTAGATGCAGAGACAAGGCTTAGACAATGAATAGATTCACCATTGGTTTAAAGTGTGAGATTTGAATCCTGTCCTGAATGAGTTCAAATCTCATGTTACTATCATAAAACTATACTGCTTTTGACTTTCCCTTTTCCACAGAAATTCAAATTCAGTGAAACATCACATTCAGATTATTTACTGTTTTGCTGGTGGGGGCTGGGGGGTGGGTCATACCTAGCAATACTCAAGACTTATTCTGCACTCAGGAAAAAGTCCTGGTGGGTTCAGGGGACCATATAGGGTGCTGGGAATCTATCTTGGGTGGGTTACTTACAAGGCAAATGCCCTACCTACTATACTGTCTCCCCAGCACTGTATGTACTTCTATTGTACTCTGAAAGTAATTGAATATTATGGAGCTATTGAAGGTTTCTGGGGCTTTTTACTGACATTCTCCCAGACTTAATTTTTTTCTTTATCATTCTTGTTGTGTTTTATTTTGGGGCCACACTCAGCTATGCTTACTCCTGGCTCTGAACTCAGGGATTACTTCTGGCAAGGCTCGGGGTACCATATGGGTTACCCCAAGATTGTATTGAACCCAGGTTAGCTTCATACAAGACAAGTGCCCTAACCATTGCACTATAGCTTTGGCCCTTATTTATCATTCTTTTCATGAGTATTTGTTGAATGAACAGATTTCCAACCAACTATAATCTACTTTAATAGTGTACTAAAAAGGGAAAATGAGGACTGGAAAATAATACAGCAGGTAGTGCACTTGTCTTGCATAGGGCTAACCTGGGTTTGAACCCTGGCATCTTATATGGTCTCCTAAGTGATCCCTGAGCACAAAGCCAGTAGTAAGCCTTGAATATTATCAGATGTGATTCCAAAGCAAATTAAAAAATTAAAAATAGAAGTCTTTTCTGTTCTTTAGTGCAATGGCTTTCAGCAGGCTACTTTTTAAATCTTTCTTTCCTTGCCAAGGCTGAGACCACACATCAGCATCTCTAAGCAACCCTGCTTGCAATGTTTCTAGTTCAGTTGCTCCAGAGGTGAGGTACAGCATAAATAACTTTGCAAAGCTTCTCTCCCATCCCACCCCTGGTGATTTTACTGTATAGCCAGATTCCCAACCACCAAACTGGAATATGTCTGGTGTGTCTTCTATTGCTAACATTCTATAATATTTTTATTCTATCACCAGATCCTGGAGTAGTACTGGGCATACAATGGTATTTTTCAAACACTTTAGAGCACTTGAAACCACTGTTAAATTCTTTGGGAAATAATTTGCTCTGAATATTTTATAGAATTGATTAGCTTCCTTGACTACTTATACTAAGGACAGACTTGATTAATAAT